ACCATTAAAGATGCCATGGAATAGCTGCAGTATCAGTGGTAGCTTTTCACCTTGAATCACAACAGGGATTAATCTTCAGGTGTATTGCTAAACTTAACAATGCCAATAGCAGCCTGCGTCTGGATTCACTGCCTTTCTGATTGCAGCGATAGTTGTTCCACATAGGGTCACTTTTGTAGTGATGTAGAAATCTTCTCTGAGGCCTAGTCTGCACAGCCCTCTTCTCTGATTCTGTTAACATTCGCAACTTTCACTTAAATCTCTTCAGGTTTAAAATACCTACTAAAGTAGTTTCTGTCCCCTCTAGCAAATCAAGAGTGATCCCTCTACAATTCCATTTGCATATAATTATTCAATTCTCATAACAAAATCCATCTGTTAAGTTATACTACATAGAATCTGCAAAAAAAAGTACTTCCAAAGTACTAACACACAATATCTAAGCCCTGCATTTTCTATGATCTAGTAACAAATCAATGCTATCAAAAAAAGAAGTTATTCCGATATGATATGTTCCACATAATCCATTCTGATTTATAATGATGCAAGTCTCCTTTCCTAAAGGACTCACAGATGTTCTAGTCTCCTGTACAAGAGGGATGCTGTGCTCATTAGTATCAGCGTAGCATTGTCACCTAGGGGTAAATATGGGTCTATCCTCTGCTCCTACCATTTACCTGCTATGAAATCTTAGGTCACTTAACATTTCCAGGTCTCAGCTTTCTTAGTGGTAAATGCTACAATGCTACAGGGACCTTGTAAAGAGCAAACAGGTAATGCATGCAAAATTCTCAGTGCAGTGTTTGGACCTACAGTAGGCCCTAAATTAATGATGGCTATAACGTGAGAAATCCAACTGTTTTTCTCCTTATGAAAAAAAAAAACAAATTTTAATTTACTCTTTCATGCTTCCATGATATCCATTTCCTCAGAGACATCAAATTTCACAAGCAACAGAATATAGTTTTCTCACCTGCAGGTTATCTCCATAAACATTAATGATCACACTTCTAGTTAGAAGACAGCAAGTCAGCAAATGGCTTCCTTACCATTTCCTCATCTGGCCAAACTGCTCTTTGTTTGCCATACAATATTCATTCTGAAGGTCACTAATCTCTATAGAATCCTCTAAATCTTAATGACTAAAGAAAAATGAGCAGGGTCATGAAAGAAGCAGAAACAGGTGGGAGCTGCTCAAGGGCTCAACATCGCCAGTTGCAGGTAGCACAGGCCTCTCTAGCTGTCTGAGAAGCAGGGATGGTAAGAAGAGGGCAGAAAAATTAAAGAGGAGGAACTGGGCAGCTAGCACTCCTGCCTGCCTGTATCTGTGCAGGTGCCTCTCTTTTTCTCCTTTTCCTAGTGAAACTGTCCTTTTAAAAAGTGTTTAAACAAACAAACAAACAAACAAAAAACAAGAAGAGGACCTCCCTGGTGGTGCAGCGGGTTAAAGCACAGCACTAAGAAGCTAAAGCCAATTCAGCATGAGTTCAATCCCCACCAAGGAGGTGATCCACATGGCACGGCAGACCTGTTCTGACTCGCCCACTGTTCCACTCAGCAGTTACTTCGTCAATCTGTCTGTTCTGCTCCCCACTCTTATCTCGGATGAAGCCCCTCATTGCCCCCGTACCTCTGGCCTATACCCCAGCTCAGTATGCATAAATAAATAAATCTTTTTATTTTTAATTTATTCATTTATTCATATGGAAATAGGATACAGGCCAGAGATGTGGAGGGTAAGAGGATTCACCAGAGACAGAGTGGGGAGCAGAACAGGCAGATCAACAAAGTACACTGCTGAGGGGACCAGTGGGCAGGTTAGGAGAGGTCTGCCTTGCCATGTGATCTCCTCCGGGGCAGGCGGGGATCGAACTCATGCGGAAGTGGCTTTAGCATCTCAGTGCTGTGCTTTAACCCACTGCGCCACCAGGGAGGGCCCATAAATAAATAAATCTTTAAAAAAAAAAAAAAGAGGAAGATCTGATGAGACTTGACATTAATTCAATGAGCAAGTGAGGAGAGTGAGAACTTCAACATTAATTTTTCTATCATAGTCCACAGTCCAAAGTCCATGATTAAAACAATTATATAATTTCTTTACATTCCTGAATAATGTTTAAATTTTTCTACAAAGCAGAAAGCAAGATAATCTATTAAAATTGAGAGGAAAGCTGACAAGAAAAGATTTAATGGCAATCAAAAAAACTCGTCTTTTATACAAATTGCTGAGAAGAGAAATAAGGCTTGGGTTGAAGGCCATGGACTAGAGGTTCATATGTGAGATTTTTTTCCAGCAGGGGAAGACCTCAGGAGATGGACAGGTAGACTGATCTGCAATCATATTTTGCCCAGGGGAGCAGAAAAGACAGAGAGGAGGGCAACAGAGCTAAGGATGTGAGTCAGGAAGGAAACTGTCTAACTTGACTGAAGGGTAAGGCTTTTCCTCAGACACCAAGAGACAGTTTTCCCTCAGGGCAACCAGAGTTACCAGTCTAGCTTCAGCCTATGGGACCAAAAAGTTCCATTATAGAGACAGAACTAAATAAATCTGAGCTGACCAAAGTAAAAGGCATGTCTTCTTTTTCCTGACACAACTGTTTTGCCACAATCATCCCCAAAAAAACCTTTTTTTTCTACAATCACAAGAATCTGATAATGATAGATTCTTGACCTGATCCTAATCTACTCATTCAAGATGAAAAGTACTAAATGTTGATTTCTTTAGTGACAACCAATCTACTATCCCACAGTTAACCATTTATAATTTCACCTGACATACACCTGTTTGGATAAAGTATAACATATAAGAAAGTAGAGACCCACGAATAAATGCTGATTGATGCTAGACTGTGAAAGACTTTGGTTATCCCCTTGAAACCTGGATATTAGATGAGGACATCCCAGAGATGTGAAAGGGAAAAATGGGAATATGATTGTAAAAGTAATGTTGTTAAAGCTGAAAACAGTTTTGAAGAGCTGTTCTTGGGATATCACTTCAAGGTTCATGCCCACTTTAAAAAAATTAAAAAATTCAAATTTTAAAATATTTTTTGTCACATTTCTTCACTTCCCTAAAAATTACCTTTTACCTTTTAATAATTTTGCTTCTTAAAGTGAAAGCACCACACTTTCAGAGATATAGAAAACAGATTTGTAATTCTTACCTCTGTGACTAAAGTTATTATAATATATGCAAATACAATGTAAACCAATTAGAATATTAAATTAAGGAAATAATTTGAAACTGAAATCATGAAAAGGGTGATGGAATTCAGAATCTTTAGCTTAAAACAATTTAAAACTTTTAGAAAATTAAAAGTCTATATAGACTTTTTAGTGAACAAAAAATGATGAAAACATATTTAGCAAATGAGGCTCTGACATGCAACCTGTGAGTTCAATGTAATGATTCTAAGAAATTTTAAAGAAAATTTGGGTCACTTCTCTTAGGAAAACAAAACCAGAGGTATAGGAATATGGTATAAGGAAAAGTAAGTTCTGTTTCAATAACTTCATGTTATTTACTACTCTACTGATTACTACAGTGTGACAATCCCTGGGTGTTACACTAATATCACTTGAGTAGACTTTTGGAACATGGAAGCCCCACATTATTCAGTGATGTTTAAATTGCAGAAACTTAAATGTGGAGAGTTGGCTGATGGTATTTAAAATTTACTGAAGCTCACAGAATAACTGTAATTATATAAGCCGCTAACTGCTCAACTTAAAAATGGGCCTTCAATAAGAGTCCCTGTCACAAAAAAAGAAAATCATATTTAGGACATAAAATTATAAAATATAATAAATTATGTCTATGACTATCAAAGCTAAAGCCACTACACAAAATGCTATCATTTTAAAGTATGATGTCTGATAAATCATCTTTTCCCTGAAATTATAATTATCTGTGCTATTTAGAAGCAGTACTGCCTCATGTTTATTTAGACTTTGACATAGGTACACACAACTAGAGTGGTAGGAGAAGAGGAAGGTCAGTAGGTATCAAGAGGTAACTGATTTGTTTTGTCTATAACAATGGAGCCACAATCCCCACACTGTCAACTACAATCTTAAAAAGCTGAAAGAATATTAAAAAAGAAAGAGAAAGAAAAAGAAAAGCTAGTTTGTGAAGGTATCTCTACCTTCATCACTCTGTAAGCAATGGAGATCAGAGAAAATGTCCTACCCATCATTTTAGCCCCCGCAGCAGTCCTGAGACACTCAACTGAATCAGCTCTGCGTGAGTTACCATCTCTTGATCCTTCTTTCTCTTGTTTCTTTTTTTCCTGCCTCTGACCTATTTCTTCCCTTAGCTTGCAATCCTCTGTCACTGTGGCTTAACTGATAATTTAGACAACATGAAATAATATTATGTTGTATTTACTGGAACAGAATTTTAGGTTCATTTTTAATTGGAAAAGTAAATGCTAGGAACACTATCATTTTATCTCTAAAATTCTTTGCAAATTAAATTATGGGCTAGCATCCTTAAACAGAAAAATTTCCATAACCTTAAATTAAAGATGTATTGCTTTCTGGTATATTTAAAAAAAATTAAAAAAAAAGGCCCTCCCTGGTGGCGGGTTAAAGCACAGCACTGAGAATCTGAAGCCACTTCCGCATGAGTTCGATTCCCACCTGCCACCTGCCCCGGAGGTGACCACATGGCGTGTCAGACCTCTCCTGACCTGCCCGCTGCTTCCCTCAGTAGTGTACTTCGTAGATCTGCCTGTTCTGCTCCCCACTCTGTCTCTGGTGAAGCCTCTCACCGCCCCTGAGCCTCTGGCCTGTACCCCAGTTCTGTATGCACAAATAAATAAATAAATTAAAAAAAAAATGAAGTCTATTTGTGCCATGCTCGTTTTTACTGCTAATTAAAGCCAACAAACAAAATTTTCTGTAAGTGGCTAAAAAAAGTACACAGAAACATCCTGCTTTCTATATAAGTATATACATGCAAAATAGAAAATTAATATTCAATGGTAAAAAACACATACTTTTCATAGTTCCATCTTCTTCTTCCTCATCTTCACTGTTTATAACCATGGTCCCCAAGTCAGACTCTAACATAGTGCTATTATGTTCAATCATAGTCTGGGCTCCTTCACTCATAGTACTTGTGGCCCGCATTGTGCCCACATTTTCTGAACTCGTCTTCACCATGGTGTGGGAATCCAGCTCATCTTCATCCTGTGAGCAAAAACACTGTATTGAAGGAAGAATTTAAGACATTTGGCTTTCTTAATTTGTAACAGTATAAGCATATAAGAAACTGTTATTGGGCACAAATGGTTAAAGCACAGCACTAAGAAGCTAAAGCCACTTCAACATGAGTTCGATCCCCGCCCCAGAGGTGACCCACATGATGCACCAGACCTCTCCTGACCCACCCACTGTTCCCTCAGCAGTGTACTTCATCAATTGGCCTGTTCTGCTCCTCACTCTGGTGAATCCACTCACTACCCCTGCACCTCTGGCCTGTACCCCAGTTCTGTATGCATACATAAATAAATCTTTAACAAAAATTAAAAAAGAAAACAAAAAACTTATTACTAATTTTTATAGGTGATCACACATACAAATATTATCATAAGAACCAAAGTTATCCAAAAGAGCTTTACACTGTAGGTAAGTAAAGTTCAAGTAACTGAAATTATTTGATGGAATAGATGACTGAAATCTGCTTCTTTTAATAAGGTGATACAGGAAAAATATCAAAAATATGCTTAACAACATAGTGAGAAGATAACTAAAAGACAGCACATTAAAGACAGAACACATTGATTCTATTATAACCTTAGTAGGCAGTAATAATAATGTCTATAATCTTGCACATTGGCTATCAGCTGTTGTAAAATTTTGATTAAATATATACATAACATGAAGTTTGTTATTTTAGTAGTGTTTAAAGTGTACAGTTTTGCTGCATTATTCACAATATTGTGTGATCATCACCAACCTCTATTTCCAGAATTTTTTCATCAAATAGAAACTCTGTACCATTAAAAAATAACTCTTTCCTTCCCCCACCCCCAACACCTCATTAAGCTCTCTTTACATAAGTAGGATCATATAACCTTTGGCGACTAGCTTATTTCACTGTCACATATTTCACTGTTTTCAAGGTACATCCATGTTGTAGCATGTATCAGAATTGTATTCTCTTTTTAAAGGCTAACCAATATTCCATAGTCAGAATTGTATTCTCTTTTTAAAGGCTGACCAATATTCCATAGTGTGTATGTGTGCACAGGTGCACAAACTATATGTAAATATATATATCACATATGTATATATATCTAATATTTTGTTTATTCATTTGCTGGTGTACACTGGGTGGTTATTATGAATAGTGTTGCTAAGAACAGTAGTGTACAATTATCAATTTGAGGTATTTTCAATTTTGAGGGTATATACCTAGAAGTGCAAAATTTTGTGTCATATGGTTTTCTATGTTTAATTTCTAAGAAACTAACAAAATTGTCTACCCAAGAGGAGTACGCAGTGTTCCAATTTCTCCACCACCTCACCAATACTTCATTTCTATTTTTGAGACAGCCACCCTAATGAATATGAAGTGCATCTAGCTGTGATATTATTACCATTTCCCAATGTTAGCGATGTTGAACATCTTTTCATGTGCTTATCCACCTGGGTATCTTCTTTGGGAAAAAATGTCTATTCAAGTCCTTTGCTCTTTTTAAAATAAGTTGTGTTTTGGTCACTGTCAATGAACAAGAGTTCATTACAGATCCTGGATGTTAATCATTTATCAGATATATAATTTGCAAATATCTACCCATATTTTGTATGTTGTCTTTTCACTCTTTGGATAGTTTCTCTGATGGATAAAATTTTTACATTTTGATGAAGTCCAATTTATCTACTTTTTCTTTTGCTGCCGGTGTTTTTGTTTTCATAGCCATTAGCTTTTGAACACAAATTCACAGAAGAAGGAAGTCAGTGACATAAATATAAACACAAAAATGATCCTTAGAATGCTTACCAAAAGATATAATGCATTACGGCCATGAAAAAGTAGCAAATTCTGTTTGAGACCCTAGAGAAATGTGTTATTTAAAAAACTTGATCGCACACCAAAATTCGTTATCTATTCCATTTTAAGCAGAAACAAACAAGTAGAACATAGTTCCTGCAAAGGTCATAATGTAAATTTTAAAAGTAGGACCATCAATGTTATTCTCAGCTGACAGTCTTCTTCCTAAATCTACATAATAAATTCAGCATTATATTTCAGTCTTTAGATATTCTTCTTCATGAATCCTTTGCTTAGAAGATACCTTCATCCTTATTCCTTCAGTTATCAAATATGTTGAAGATTTCCAAATTCTAAAATTATCCTACATTTACTTACTACTTAAATACTCGATGTCTGAAACTCAGCACTCTCAAATCAAGCATAAGTTTATCACTCTCTTATCCTGTCTCACTCCATACCCAACAACCACACAAAGCAGTTATCTTCACTATCTATCTAAGAGTAAAAACATCACTATCTTTTTAGATTCTCTTTTACTTCCTATATAAAATCAGTAAACTGTTCTTCAAAGAAGTTTCTCAGCCTCATCTTCATTTCTATTCCCACTGCTACTGAGTAAATTCCTTATTACCTCCTACCTGTATTACTGCAGGTAAATAAACTCCGTGATTGAAGAGTTTCTCCCATCTGACCTTCTAGAAACACAGATCTCTTTTCAAACCAAACAGCACTTAAGTAAATCACTTCATTAGCAAAAAAAAACTTTAGTCAAGTTATTTAAACTCTCCAAACTTTGGCCCTCCCTGGTGGCGCAGCAGGTTAAAGCACAGCACTGAGAATCTAAAGCCACTTGCGCATGAGTTCGATTCCCACCTGCCCCGGAAGTGACACATGGCGTGGCAGACCTCTCCTGACCTGCCCGCTGCTCCCCTCAGCAGCGTACTTCGTCAATCTGCCTGTTCTGCTCCCCACTGTCTCTGGTGAAGCCTCTCGCCGCCCCTGAACCTCTGGCCTGTACCCCAGTTCTGTATGAACAAATAAGTAAATCTAAAAAAAAAAAAAAAACTCTCCAAACTTTAATTTCTTTAACTGTTGCAACTGATAAAATAAAGATACGCATACATGCTACTAGGAACACGTTAGTTTGATGTCCTATTCAAAGTTTGCATACTATACCAATCTTAATTTAATTCCATATGTATTGAGTATTTTCTATTGAACAATGTATAATGGCTTCCAGTTCTTGCCTGCATTAGAACCTAAACATTTTTACCTGGATTTTAATATCCTCCATGTTATCTAATTCTATTTGGCCAATCCTGTTTTTCCATTGTTCACATATCCTCGGGCAGAATCAGGTTAACCTTAACTTAATCTCCAGATGCCATAAATCTGTGTCATGTTACGCTCCTTAAGACTTCCTCTTTACCCAGAATACAGTACCCTTTTCTTTCATTTTAACTAAATTCCATCCAGTCCTAGATCAAGAATCTATTATGTTCAAGGTTAATTCAATCTTTATTACTTATCCATTTTCCCAAACTCCAATAAAAGTTAAAATCTGCAAACTTTTGCATTTAAATTTATGACCTCACTTTGTAACTGTTTTGCAAAATCTCTTTTAGACATAAGTATTTTATGGATATGGATGTTTTAGTGCTTCTGAATCTACTAGTGTTTTATTTAGTATTCTATATATAGTGAGCATTCAGCATAGAGTTGTATTTTCTCAGAATTATAAGACCATAGACTCTTAATAATAAACCTCTCATTTTATATTTGAAAAACTAAGGTTCAAAAGATTTCTCCAAGTTTACACACCTATTAAAACACATCTGAGATTACAAACCTAGTTCTTTAATTCCCTAATCTTTTATACTACTAAATATATATGGTTTACTTACCCTGATGACATGAATTTTGACCTTTTTGAATGTTTAAATTAGAGGAAAAAGCTCACGATTTTAGCAACTTACATCACCAATTCCTATTCCCAAAAAGTTCCGTACAAATTACTTGTTTCATTCTAGTCCAAACCACAATTTTCTCTCACTTGGACTATTAAGACAGCTTCTAACAGTTTTGAATATTTCCACTCTTGCCCCCTTTAGATTCCCATACAACAGGCAGATTGATACTTTCAAAAGATAAAATTATATTACAGTACTCTCTTGTTCAAAACCCTGCATTTGGCTTTCCATCATACTCAGAATAAAATCCAAAATCTTTATCATGGACAAATGTGATCTGGTCCCGTCACATCTGTCAATCCCATCTCTTATCACATTCTGTCTCACACACCATGTTCTAGTCATGCTGGCCTCCTTTGATGTTTCTTGAGCATTCTAAGTATGCTGCTCCTTCAAGCCGTTTACTTGGCTGATCTCTCAAAGCCTGGGAATACTCTTCCTCAAGATAGCTTGATCCTTTATTTAACTCATGTCTCTATTTAGATGTCACCTCCTGAGTGAGCCTTTTTGTGACAACTATCTAAAACTGAAGCCTCCATTGCTCTTTCATCTTCCTGTATTCCTCAGAGCATATACCTTCTCTACCACTAGCACATATGCCACACATCAAACTTACATAGTTTGATGAAGGCAGAGACTTCTTTTTACTGATGAATCCATAATGCTCAGAACACCTAGCACACAGTAGGTATTTGGCACAAATATGTTCAATGAATGAATCAAGTTGTATTATTAATCCAATCAACAAGAAGTTGCTATATATAATATGTGAAAAACTGGACAAGACATTGGAGATACAAAAATGAACAGAAATGGTTTTGCTTCATTTGATGAATCTGAGGCCTAAGAAAAGCTCACTTATACACTAGACTGATACAAGATATGATTAAGAACAAAGTACAGTGGGAGTTCCAAAAGTAGAGTCTCTAACTCTGCCTCTAACAAGAAAATCTCAGAGGAGATGACCTTAAGTTAGGTATTTAAGGATAAGTAGACCAGAAATGAAACATATATACAAAAAATCTGGGTGGGTGCTTTACAGTACAATTTCTTAACAGAATCACACTTAATATCCCCTTTCAACATAGACATCTTAAGTCTGAGTTAGGTGCCATAGCACCTTGTACCTGTGCCAATCACACACTGATAACACAATTCTGTAATTGTCTGTACACTTCACTTGCTAAATCTCCCATTAGATTCTAAATTCCATAATGACAGTAGTCAGATCTTTT